TATGGCTTGTTGATCTGTTCAATTGGGTTAGCAGGTTTCTCCCTTTCCTGATTATTAATCACATGCACCTCTTTTAGTTTCTCAGTATCTGATGGTTCCTGCTTCTCTAGCTCTAATAGCTCCTTTTTCACTGACTCCGGTGATTCTTGTTTCACTGGCTCCAATGAGTCTTGTTTAACTGTCTCCAATGATTCTTGTTTCGCTGGCTCCATTGGTTCTTTTTTCATTGGCTCCGGCGGTGCGTTGTCACTCTCTACTGACCCCTTTTATCCTGCAAAGAAAAAAAGCACCCCACAGTTGCTGAAGTCTATGAAACAAAAATCATTTAATGATGCCAAATGCTGCATTACTTATTATGTAGGATCCTTTTTAGTGCATGAATGAACCATTGTACAAGTTGCAGTTAATTTCTTTAATCCAACATATAAACCTCCTAATTATTTATTTTTTGGTACATCTAAGGCACAGCCTTAGAATATGGCAAGGGGTTGCGCGAGCTAAAACTTAATTAAGTTTTCCTTGGCCATTCTTCTTAGTAATGCATATGTGACAAAAATACATTAATCCCATTTTGATGAAACCATTTTCATCAGAACAAATAGCAGAACACTTCAATTCTGCTTAGCATATCTTTATTGGAAAAATATGAACCAATAATTTGCCGAAAATAAAATCAGCTAACTTTTGACGCTTTTCATGCTTTGGAGTTTGGATCCACAGTGCAATATTACTGAGAAGAAAACAAACATAAGGATGCACATTGATGAAGCTTTACAGATAAAGATGTCTAGAAAGAGTTTCAGAGACATTCCAAAATGATAACAAATCATAAAGCACCTATTAACATCATCAATAAGTTCACTTGAAGTAGATTATCCCAATGAACAGAACAAACCAGAACAGGAAGTATTCAATGAATTGGTGCATTCCCCTAAAAACCAATAATTTAAGGCATTATATGGTGCCCAGAGCCCAGCGACAAGTATGCTGCTCAACAATGGTTTTCAATGCACTCATAGTATAATTTATGAAAATATTTATTACAGATCTTGGATCAAAAACTATTCAGCACCAGTAGCTCATGGTGAAAATATACATTTCAGTTTTCATAGAGTCGAGAATCTAATTTGTGTCATTGTAATTTGAAATCAAAGCAAACAACTAATGCCTGAAATTCATTGACATGGTATTGAAAAACTCACCACAATGTGTTAGGAGTAGTAAATTATTGATATCGACAAGATATCAGACAAACAAAAAGACGGGTCAGTTTAAATATGGTTATTGAGAAATATCCTTTTGTGTTTTGTTTTTAATCTCATGCTTCGAATCTTGATATTCAATACCAAATCAACAGGAACCATACGAGGAATTATTTTACGTTTTTTTTCAATCTTTCCTTTACTTTCAACCAAACGGTACAAAACCAGTGATATAATTCAATGAAAAAGGCAGGATAAAGATGCTGTTAAACAACCAACATATTGAAAAGACAGATGCGACCGTATTCAAAGGAATGATCCCATCGTCCCTGCTTTAACGAAATCATATCAAGCACTAATCAAATTGCATTGAAGCATCAACCAATTGAAAAATGCTTGGAAATTAATATAACAACCTATTTGTTATCCAAAGATCAATAATCCCATTGATAAAACTCATTAAATTTAGAAAAAAAAAAAAAAAAAGCAGTTCCATTGAAATTACTAGCTAAGAGATCATAAAATTAGAAACAGATACCTCTTTGAACAAATTACTAAGAGATTGTGGCTTGTTTGATTGATCATCAACCTTGTCATCAATAAAAACCTCCTGACCTCATCAACGTCCTTGGCCTTAACAACCTCATTAATATCAACTGCTTCCACCTTCTTTTCACCTCCAGCAACAACAAAAGCTGACTCCTTTGCTTCAGCAACCGCAGGTCCATGCTCTTTCGTCTGCTCAGGAGGCGGACCGAAGCTGGGACCTCCCCTTCATCACCCTTCAAAACCTTAGGCTTGGTAACGCAACCTCCCATGTTTATTCAGCTTTCAAAAACCAGGAAGCCTATTCTAAACGTTCTTCTTTAAAACTGTTTCTTTTTTTATTTTTCTTGACCTGTTTGGTGTGAGTGAAAGGAAGATTGAAGAAGCGAGAAAGAGAAGATTTAGGAGATTTATAGGGAAAAGAAAGAAAATTTTTTAAGTTTCGTTGGCTTCCGACAAATGTTCTGCGGTAAAGAAACAATGCAAAGAGATAGACAAATAGACAAACAGCAGAAAAAGATTGAAAGATTTCTTCCAAGAACTTGATTCAATAGTTTTTATTATTACATGAAAAAAAAAAACGAGGATATAAGTTGGCTACAGTTTTTTTACTGACTCTTAAATTAGCCATGGATAGATGTAATGTGAAAGGAACATGGATCATGGAATGCATGGAAATGGACTCTAAAAGAGTTATTTTCTGTCAAGTTTTTTACGTAGTTATATTGCATAATGCTCACTTTTGAGGTTGCATTTTATTTCATCGAAAGCATAAAAATAACAGAGAATTAAGGAATTTATTCAATGACTGATCAATTGTATAAATATAGCTTAGCCATTAATTTAAAATAATTTTTTCAAACATTTGACAATAAATAAGGAAATGAAAGAACATGAAGAGAGTTGTGTTTGTTTCCAGGGCGGTGGAATATGGTGAAATGATATTCATAAAGGCAACTATTTAAGATTTAAGAATTAAGATGCGATGTGCCTATATATCTGCTTTCCATTAATTATTTTATTTTTCTCAAACCAAATCCGTCTATCCCTCGCCTCATATTAATGGAGAGTGGCAGGAAAACGGTTTGATTGATTCATGATATTTAATAAGTTGAATTATTCAAATCCTAATTTTTATAACTTTTACTTTTATTTTTAAATTGATGCTTTTCTACTAAAAAAAATCTTTTCAAAATAAATTCAAATTTGTAAGCAAATTATATATAATATTATATTACAACATACATAAAAATCTGATAAAATTTATTTACATAAATACTTAAATGGACAACTTATATTTTTGACATGTAAGATATTATCAAATAACTTTATTAAATCAATTATTTAATTTTTCAAAATTTTAAAGTTTCAAAATTTATATTTATCAAAATCTTTTCAAATATATAAGATTTATCTTAATTTAAATCTAATAAAATATATCTTCTCATATTTTACTCTTATCCAATTCAAATAGTTTTTAAAGGTTAAATTCCTAAATCTTAAAAATCATAAAAAAATTATACACTGTCTAAATTAATATTCATATAAATTTAAATAAATAAAATTTGTGGTTGAATCTATATTATTTACTAATTTTTGTCTTTATTTTTTTATAATTTAAAATAAAAAAATATTTTATATCAATTTAAAATTACACACATATCTAAATTTAAAATTATACTAACTTCTTTTATCTTAATTTAAAATTAAACCTGGATAAACTAAATTTTTAAAATTTTATATTTTTTTTAAATTAAATAATTATTAAATATATATTTATGATTTTTTCTCACAATCAATATTTTTTTCTTTTCTTCATAAAAGTTTAACAAGATAAAGTTTCAAACTTAAATATCCAAAAATCTTTTATGATATATCACATGTGTAAATCTTAATTTTTATACTAAAATAATATATACTTTTAAAAAATTTATGTAATTGTGAATAAAAAATTAACTTTCTCATTGATATTTGTATATAATTTTACTTTCATAATCTAAAACTTTTTTAATACTTATTTAGATTCTTCATAATAATTTATATATCAATAATTTTTTTAATTTTAAATTACAAATTATAAATAATTATGATTATTTTTATTTATTTATATATAATATAAAAATTAATATAAATTAAAATTTTAAACTATAAACATATATAATAAAAAAACTCCGTGCATGGCACGGGTTAAAAAGACTAGTGTTATATATTAGGCTAAGCCATTGATATGAGATATTGACAGAAAAAATCCTCACTTCAATTGTTGGGTCACTTACAAAATTATCATTTTTATAACTTTTGTTCTCAAAAAAAATAGTACCATGTGATTTATGTTGATGACGATAATTTTTTTGGTTTATTAATTGTCTTAATCATTAGGCAGCTATGAAATTTCTTTCCCTCTGTTTTTTTTTTTTTCTTCTTCTTCTTAAGGAATGGGGCTGTACCGTTATGATAGTGTATGGTTTTCTTATTCCAAGTTTAATAAACAACTACTAATTTACTAATTAGGGGTGAGAAAAAAAATTAAAAAATTAAAAAATTGATTTAAAATTTTAATATTCGATTCGGCTCGAATTAAGTTTGGATATTAAATGTCTATATTAAATTTGGATTGGATTTTGAATTAAAAAATTAAAAATTAAAAAAAATAAATTGAATCAAATTATATATATTTTTTAATTTTTATATATTTTGTAAATTTTTATAAAATAAAAATAATAATTTTATATCAACATTTATTTAAATATATTAAAATTGTATATTAAAATAATATCTAAAATTTTAAAAAATTAAAAAATAAAAATTTATAAATCAAACCAATAAAATTTGAATCAATTCAGATTCGGATGAAATTTAAATTTTTATAATATTATATAATATTTAAAGAACTGAATCATTATCACCCTTGCTACTAACTTTTATTTGCTTCAAGTTTTTCCAAACATACATAATGGACCATCCTATTATAAAGAAATAAAAGCCGCAAAATCAGTTATTGATCTTTTGACAGCCGAATAATAATAAGAATTTATATTTGATATATTTTTTTATGTATAAATTTTATGCATTTTTAATAAATTAAATGATATTATTTTATTAACAAAATTTTTTTTAAAATCATATTTTTATTTTTTATTTTAGAGTTTTTAAAAATTTATATTTATTCATTAACTTGGGACATCGTAATTCACTGTTAATTTATAAATAAGCATAAATGTGATGTATTTTTCATTTTAAAAAGTTGAAAAATAATTTTTGTAACGAAGAAAGCTTGCAAATACTTGGGTCAGCTGAAACAAATGTCCACCCAATTTCCAATTGCTGGGTTGAGTTGCCTTGACTTGGGAGTTCACCTATTCAGTGCTTTTCTCGGCTTCTCTGAACTGGCGCAACAACAAGCAAGGAATCCAACCCAAAATCTTTGCTTCGAAGTTTGAACTTAGACATGTTTCGACTTTCTTCTGCCGTGCCGTCCAACACCTGAAGAGATTCAAAGCAACTGAGAGACAACAACCGAAGGAGACGACACCATCTCTTTCTTTGTTCTCGTCGACCACGGAGAGGAGATTACCTTTTTGTCACTTAAAATTTAAAGCCAATTCCTTTTACCATCAAAAAGAAAACTTTCCTCTGCCTGAGGACAGTCTTAATTGATTGGTGCTGTGAATTTTGGAGAGAGTTGGTTTTGCTCTTGATTTCCTCGATTATGCAAATACCCAGATGGCGAAACGTGCTGATACTCAACAAGTCATTGCTTCTAGCTTTTTTACCTTCAAAACCCACGGCTACTTTTGCAACAACCCACGTTGCTTCTTTTCATTCTACGCCTGTTACCTGTGAGAAATGGAAGAGCAAATGGAATTTTGTGAGTCTTTTCCCTTTTTTCCCAAGTTTTATTTAGTTATATATGTTGAATGCTATGGGTGAGTTTGGGGAAAGTTTAGATTTTCTTTTTGGTTGTGGAAATTGAAGAGCTGTTGTTAGTGTATTCAAAATTACGAATTTATTAATTGGTATAATAATGTATTTCTTCAACGAAAAAATAGTCTTGTTTTTTGAATGCTGTGCGAGATACTGTGTGCTAACATCAAAACGAAACTAGATATTAAGTTTCAATGTTTCATGCTTGATCTTATGTTAAATTTCTCTGCTTGGTGATGTTTGATGGATGCAACTGTTAATATTAATATTTAGTGAAGAATGGTACTTCAAATTGTCTAGTGACTTAATCAATTGACTTGTCGTGTAGCTGATGGAGCACATTACTTAACTGTTAGATGATTGTATATTCATTATGTTTAGTTTTTGCAATTTTCAATCTCATTCCCCATGCTGTCTCTTCCTAGTTCTGATCAAAGTAAGTTGCATTCTGTGTGAATAAGTATTTCCACTTCTTTTCCCCTCTGGACACCAGCAACTGCATAGAATTGAGCTTTAGATTTTAGTAATGCATTAAAATTTTGGTTTAGGAATTAGGATAAAGCTGTATGTCTTGCCTTTGATGTGAAAGTTTGACAATTAACACTATTTTTGCAGGATGAAAGAAGAACTCAACAACCAACTAAGGTATGCATCTTTGGAGGCACCTATTTTGTGAAATTATTTATGCATGCATCTCTTAATTATCTTGTTCCTAGTATTTCACATAGGCATGTCTTACGATTGGTAATTTTCTGATAACTTTTATTAGACTAAATACAAGGTCAAGTCTGTATGCTGAGGATAACTGAGCTTATTCTCAATCACATTTCTAGGTTTATTCTTCATATATCTTTAACCTTGACTGCTAAAGCAGTTATCTTATTCTACTTAGACTGGGAACATTCCCAGCAATCTTTAGTGCAAATAAAAACCTAATGCATCTCAGAAAAGGAATCTCCATGATTAATTTGTATTTTCAAATTGATCAGGTGGTGGACCTTATCTGCTAATGCTTATGATCTTTCTATTTGTTAATTTCATACTTCCTATGTAGCTTTATTATGAACTTTTTGTCTTCTTTTTGCAGTTTTCTTCCTTTATTTGTTTATAAAAAGTTAAACTTCTTTAACATTTCAAATATGGAATGCAGAATTATGTAAGATATGTGGTACGTCAAAAGTGTGCTGACACAAAGAGAGCACTAAAAGACCTTCTCTTAAATAGTGGTTCCTCAAATATTTCATTTCAGGTAAACTAGACTTCTGTTTGACGTAGAACCCTTATCTTATTGAAGGTGTGGACTTACATTTTCCTGATGCACTGTTTATATATTCATGGCGTAATTAGATTGTGATAAATATTTATTTTTGGTTTTTTATATGGTCTTGTTCCAACTTTTATTTGCTTTTTCTAATTTATTAAGGAGTTTTTCCATTATTTTGCAACTATTGGATCAATAGTCTGCCCAGTGCTTTGGAGTTCCAATTGCAAGAGTCCAGTTTATATGGTTTTATCCAAATTTAGTTTTGGCTTGCACTGAAAGTATTAGAACTCTTTGAGTGTTCTGTAACCAAATGGACTACGAGTTGGTCAAATTGTAAATGTTTTGACATGTCAGTTACCAGATAGTGCCATCTTGTGGATACTAGGGATTAATTTATATAGTGAGAGTCAGAGCACAAAAGTATCTGTTTTTGAAATATTTAGAGAGCAGGAACACCACAAGGAATAGCATTTATTAATATTTATTACATATTCATTCATGTTTGCTAACCATTTATCTCCGTGTTTGCTTATTTTAATTTTGAGGTATGTTAAACCACAAGAGTTAATGAAAACATTTTTTAATGAAAGGTTGTAGAGAATTATAGTAGTACTTAAGTTGTTGAAGAGAAGAAAGCTCCTGGATGAGAAATCACAATGCTGACTAATAATTTCCATTTTAGTTAATAATGCAACTGGTCATTGAGAGGCAGGGTTCAAAGTTTATGTACTGTATTATTCTCCGAAATTTATCTTATTCAAAAAGCTGTAGATTCCATTCAACCATGGTAATGTTCAGCAAGTGCTCTACCAGATCAAGTGGGTTCTAGCTCCTAAACTTGCCAAAGCTTTTCAAGATATGTGGATTATTGTAATAATTCATGGATAAACACCATTTTAATGATCAATCAGCAGGATTTATGGATTTTAGTGGTTTTTGCTGCTCCCTAGGCAAATCATGTTAACTAGGATAGGACTTTATCTGAATTATTTTATTTGGTGGAGCTGATACTGGATACATTCTTGTAAGCAAAAATGTCAATGCAATCAACCTACATCACTATTAGGCTCATAAACCACATTTCCTGGTTTGGCATTGAATTATCTAAACTATGAGAAGTAACCAGTATGCAGCATGTTTACATTAAAAAAAAGTTGTAAGAGTAAAGTAAGCTGGATTATTTCTTGTTCTTGAACATTTGTGTGCCTTGAAATTAGTTTTGAGTTTCTTCGTTATTTGCATTGCTGTAATGTAAACTTAATATAAAATTTTTGTTTTATAAATTCCCATAAAATGTGCATCTAGGCTCTAAGTATAGAAGAAGCTTATGATTTTAGTTAGGCCATTGATAGAGTGAAATTGTAATCTTTTAGTTATGGGTGATGACAAGTTGGATCTTATTTTGTTAAAAGCTAGTGGACTCAACTGTATGTAAAGCCTGAATGTTATTTATTTCCCAAGTCAACCTTGGTCTCAAGTGTTTGGGACCAATAACTTTAGCCTACTTCTCCATTACATTGTACCATAGATTGAGCTCACACTTTTAAGTAGTACCTGAATTTATAATACAAACTTATGCATGCCTTTGGCTTCTATCTAGGATGAAGATCCACTACAGAAATTTGATAGGACAGCAGGCCGGGATTCAGATGGCTCTGATAAGAAACGGCGAACAAGGTTTTCTGGACGACATGCTGGGAAATCTAACCACAAAAAAGTAAAACGTGAGCTTCCACTTTCTTTTTTATTCCTTTCCTTATATTGTTTCTTTTAAATGAAATTTAGATAAAAAATTACCTTCTTGATGCACTGTTTTCACCTGAACTAGGTTCTACATTTTGTCTTAAATTCTACTAACTGGGGTGGGGGGGGGGGGATCTAAGCATCATAATTAGCATGTTTTGATGACTTAAACCTGGTATGATCCAAATGTTTTAATAAAATAAATTTAAAATTTCCTTCTGCTTACTAATAATCTGGCTTTATTGGTCTAATCTTATGTTTTCTTCATCTGTCTTTATTTCAAAACAATGAGTAATTACCTCACACTACTGACATGATCACCAAAGGAACTGAAATGTTGTCATTTTTTTGGGTACAATTTAACAAGACAAAGGATGGAAAGGGGATTTGAATGTGGGTCCTTGAGCCTCCACAGCAGGATGTTTGAAAGTAGCATCCGATATCATTAGTGAAATGCTAGTTAATTTTCCTGTTATGTAACAGTCACATGTCCATTAGTGGAAAAACTTTATTTTGTTGAATAGAATGTGGACCTCATCATAATATGGAAGAGTTATCGATTTCTGTTTTGCAGCTTGAGTAGCAAATATAACTGTTTTTTATTTTCGTTTTTCACAAAGATTGTATTTGTCCATCGGATGCATATGAACTTAAGGGGCAATGACTTACTTAAAATCAGAACTATGGTTTGTCAAAAATTAAAATCTTCTTGTTGTATATAATACTGAGATATCATCCAATTGTTTGAGACTATAATACTGAGACATCATCCAATATTAAGAGTGACCTTTTTAAAGAGTAACATGTGTGTTTATTTGATGTTGTTATGATGTTTTCATCAAAAGAAAGTACCTTTATTAATAGGTCTGTTACAGTGAGAGATTATAACCTACCTAATCATGTTTCAAATAAAAACCAAAGCCACATCTGGATTATAGGTGCAAACATTTTATGAGTGCTTGCCCTCGTGTGTGATTTGACAAACTTGATATCATTGTTTTTACATGCATAGGAAGGTTTAGAAGAGAGTTTCTCTGATGACTGTGATCATCCTGACACAATCTTTGAAGCTACATTTGGGAACAAATGGTACACCTGGTCCCCTAGGGGGGATTATTCTTTCCAAACTTCAGAATCTGGATTTGAGTGGAGAGAAAATTCAGGCTGGACTAATCAAAGAACAAAAGAGTGGGAGACTACTAGTGAAACCGAATCTGAGGACGAGTTATATGCTGTAGGAACACATTCTGATAGAGCAATCCTTGGTCTGCCTCCAACAGGCCCCTTAAAGATTGAAGATGTTAAAAATGCGTAAGTACTTTGGTTCTTTCATTCAACTTGAATTTTGGGAGGCCTCTCATTTGAAAGATTGATCGTATTTCAGCTTTTCCTTGCTCCATTTCTTTTTATGCATGTATTCTAAAATTATTAAAATCACCTTGTAGCTTCCGCTTATCGGCTTTAAAGTGGCATCCTGATAAGCATCAGGGTTCTTCACAGGTTAGTTAGAATTTCCTATATTACTTTATATTTTTGAGTGGTGGGTGGTAGTTTTATGAATATTCTCCAACATTCCAACGCCCTTCACACTCTAACCTTGCATAATTTTGGTTGCTGGTCCAAACAAAATGTTATGGATTTTCATTTCTGGTTTTGAATGCATTGTGTTTTTGTTTGTTAGTTTTTTGGGGTGTTTGAGTGGAAACAGGGGGCAAGGGATACTATTTGAGGACAATGTTTATGCTATTGATTTACGATAGCTGATCTGTCATGGCATCAGTCTTTTCTGTTATTTATTTCTCTTATCTTTTTCCTTTTAATTTGTATTTGTTATAGTTACATGATATCGATGCATGTATGCAGGCGATGGCTGAAGAGAAATTTAAGCTCTGTGTTGATGCATACAAATCATTATGTCATGCTCTAGCCTAAGGTGGTTGGGGTTCATTCAAATTGCTTACATCTCCAATTAGGGGATCTCAGACAATGGCCAGTACAATGAAGTAAAAGTGTACGATTGAATTATTTTCTTATCTATTTTTATCTTCCTCATAATCGACTGTCATCACCAAGTTGGCTCTGCCAATATATTAGTATTTTGCCCAACAATTAGCAATGGGCCATGAATTTTTTTTAAGAAGGGAACATGGATTGTAACCTTCAATAAAATAGAAGGTGATCAGAAATCTTGACGATAATTTCCTACTCGAATTTCATGGAATTTGTGTGACAGGAAAATATTTATGATCTAAATTTAATTTTGTATCAATAGAGATACATGCCTATAATCACAAGGTTTGTCAACAAACAGCTTAGCTTGTATTGAGCATTTGAACTGTGAAGTACAAAATGGAACTCCTCAGAGGAATAGTTAATTGTGACGTCAAAGAAAAAACCAAAGTCGGAGAAAATAGTGTTACTACTCTGAAGAGATGAAAGAGAAGCAGCTGTCGTAGCTAGTTGGCTGCTTTGTTGGCATCCCTTTGATTCTAACAAAAGAACACCCTGACACAAAGGATAACAAAATCGTACTATCCAAAACGACAGCAGCTAGGTCTCATAGCCCTTAAGAAGCAGCTTCCTATCATCATTTTACCCACATCTTGCCAATAATCTTATCATAATACTTTATTAGGTAAGATTCATGCTAAGTGAATGGTATTAAGTCGCAAATGAAGGTTAATTGAATTGACAAGGTTTGAATATTTTGTTTATAAAATTTAAATTCAAATTTTATTATCATATATATTTTTTAATAAGCGATTTATAATTTTAATATAAATTCTCTCATAAACTTTCAAGTAGCTCTAGTCTTAAAATGAATAAATCTTTTCTCATCTTAATTTTTTTATATATATAAGAGAAAAGGGGGATTAAGCCAGATTGAGAGGAATTTCTAAGCAATGTCACCCCACATGTGTGGGTCCTCTATACTTGGGTTCAACCGTTTTAAAATGGAAGAATGAAGCAAGCAAGGTTCTACTAGTTGTTACGTTGAGGTTAATGGAAATTGCACTTTTACACTTACCTTGCCGATGAAAATGGGTTTGCAGCCAACTTTTTGGTAGTTTCATGTGACATTTTACATTTCTTCCTTCTTTTTCGTTGACACACCATTATCATTCTCGTGAAAGGGTAGGAGAAAGAGAGACGGAGTCAAACTCAAAACGGATAGCATTAACTATTGTTTTTGAATTATAATAAAATATTAATATATATTTAAATTTAAAAATTTTTAATATAATATTTAAATTATAAATTTATTAATTAATATAAAAATTTATATTCATTTAAAATTAATTACATTAAATATAAATATTATATTAATTAACAAATTTATCATTTATACATTATATTAAAAACTTTTAAAATTTAACAATTATAATAAATATTTTGCTATAAATTATTCGGAATATTAACCCAACTCAAAGGGAAATCAAGGACAGCAGACAAGACAAGAAAGAGCAGCATTTGCTCAAGATTCAAGAAACTAATATGTTACGCATCACTCGTACGCCTCTTCTCTGAATCCCATTTAGCAGTCAAGACGGGGTTATGGCAAGGGCATTCTTCTTTTCAGATTTCAAATTCAAATAAAAATTATTCCCTCCGCCCAATTTTTATTTTTTTATATTTCAAAATTATGTTTTTTATATCTAAAATTCTTATTTTTATATTTTAAATTTTTTTATTTTTAATATTAAAAATCATAAAACTTTAATTCTATAAAAAAATTTAAATTTTAATATTAAATATATTAAAATTAAAAGTTATGTTAATTTTTTAAAATTTAATAACACCCAAATAATTTAATTAAAAAAATTAATAACACCTAAACAATTTCATACAAAAAAAAAAAAAAATTCCGAAGCTATTCCACTCCTTGCTGCAGGAAATCTTGTATAGTGTATTAGTTAATACTCTATTCCTCTCTTTCGTCTCCTTGTATAGAAACTACCCATCATCAAAAGTTGCAAAAAAAGATTTTCCCATTTACAAATTCTCTTTTGCTTGTGAAAAATCCCCTTTCCAAGGTTCCACACCCCAAAGGAATGCTAGAAACCAAGAATTCGAAATATATATATTATATATAGTATATTCAAAAACTAGCCATAAAAAGCAGACCCTACCTTCATCATTAAGAATTAAGCTTTTTATCAAAAGCATAAATCAGTTTACAACCCATGAAAAATGATAATACTACTACAGTAGCTGGAACTGAAAAGGAAAAATGAAAATGTAAACTGCATAAAGAAAAAATAACATCAAAAGCAAGAATAATACACATCATTTTCAATTTTTCCAATTTAATATGGAGCCTCAAGAATCCAAGATATACACATAAAGCAATCAATTGTTCTTATCAGTGACATTCCTGCCCGTTAAAAAAAGTTGAAGAAAAAACACTAAAAATGTAATTCAAAACAAAGACCCTGATCAGTAATGACCCAACACCTAAAAACAAAGCATCACAACAGAAGAAGAAACCGTGAAGGCGTAGATCAGGATCAAGAAACCAAAATGCAATGCCCAGTTCCTCTTGAACTTTGCAAAGTAACTCTCAGGAGGCTCCTGGTAATGAATCTCAAACTCACCCTCTTCTCCAAACCCATCAACAAACTCACCATTGTTAATCCTCGACTTCATTTCTCTCAGCTTCTCAGTAGCCAGCCCAAGAGTCAGCTTGTGGCACCTCCTCTGGTACTTGAACCCATTTATGAACCTCAAGGTCTGAGCCACGGAAACATAGAAAATAAGATGAGACAGGGAAAGCAGAGTGATGGGAGCCCAGCAGTGGCGGCACTGGAGACGAGTAGACTGAGCCTGAGCCATGAAGACAAGGGCTAGGAAGATGAAGAAGAGCTGGAAAAGTTTGTGGAGCTCCTTCTTTTGGAGGTCTATAGCTCTTTTCTTTTCCAGGGTTTTCTCGAAGTGAAGTTGGATTATAGTGTTTAATGCTTGGAGAGCAGTTTCTTTTGGGATTGTTTGGTGGTGGTGAGTTTGATGATGTGTTGGCTCAAAGTCTGCCATTGATGTCCGAAGAAGGAGAGAGAACAAAGGCTAAGGGTGGTTTGGTGAGGGGAGGGGTGCTGCTTCCTTTGGTAGGAGTACTAGTTAGTTTAATGAGTGCTCGGATCTCAAGGTAGTTAAAACTCTTGGTTGTTATCTGATGGAGAGAGGGCAGATGGTTTGTGTAACATTAAAGTGTAAACTTAGGATCCTTTATTTATTTATTAATATTCATGCGAGTTCATGTATTTCTAGGTTCTTGATCTTACTTACATCCAAGTTTTTTATTCATTCAATTCAAGCCGTAACTCTGAATTGTGCAGTAAAAGAGGCAAAAGGATTGATGTCAGTCATCATGAGTGAGTGAAGAATAACGGATATATTGGCATGAATTCAACGCAAATAAACATGCTACTATTTATACGAGATTTTTACTATCTATTTTGGTATTTCTTTTTAAATTATTATATTAATCAATTATTTTTTAATATATTAAAATTCATAATATTATCCGTCAACTTTCCTATTTGATACAAAATTATTATTATAAATAATATTTTGATTAATTTTAGATTGTAAAAATTTTACCATATATCTAAGTTCCTAGTTAATGTTTTTTATTATTCATTGGTAAATGTCGTCTACGCAGTTTAGTTTAACTGGTGTTAATAATTAGACTAACTTAATACACATTTTAAAATTTTAAGATGCACATTATATATATAGTTTAAGTATTAATTTATACATTTTAATATAGTTTTTGAGTACTAAATATATAATTAACTCAAATAAAAATAATAACAAATGTAAAAGGGCCATGACGATTTAGGTTGGAGCGAAACATTCTCTTTTTTTTTTTTTTTGGGGGGGGGGGGGTTTAAAAGAGTGTTAAAATGGGAGCAACTCCATGACTTAATGTGTCAAACATCTAAAGATTACTGACCTGGAAACAGTGATCGTTGTTATTGTCTAACTATAGTAAACTTTAACCATGTTCTCAACATTTATGTATAGGCTTAGGCTTGACCTCTCTTCCGCCTTGTTTACATTTTCCTTTTGTTGCTCATAACAATAGGATATAATTTTAACGCTTTAAAACATAAGTACATGTTGTGGCAGAAGTAAGAAAACGAAGGAAAATCCCATCGCAAAAGTCAAACAGTAAGGACGGTGAGACTGATCTTTTCCCTGTTTTTGTTTCGTTTTGCTTTATTAAGTTTTGTCCTTTTGGGGGTAAAATAAAGATTTTAAACTCGAACCTCCCACAGCAAGAAGGCAAGGCTTTGTTAAGGGAAGAACGGCGCCACTTATTAAGTGTACTGTGGATCCCCATGGTCTCTATGGTAAAATAGTATTTTATATTATTATAAATCAAACCTAATATATATATATATATATTATATTACAATATATAAAGTTATAAGATAAAATATACTGACATAAATACTTATAAAGATAGTCTCTTTTTATGATACGTAAGATAATATTTATATTATATTATTTATCAAGTAACTCTATTTAATAAATTATTTAAATTTAATATGTTTTGATAATTATTTAAATTCAAATCAAAATTTATAAAATATTAAAAATTTTACATACATTTTAAATTCAAATATATTAAATTATAAATTATTTTTTAATTTAATCATAATTTCAAATATATATAGGCTTAATAAACTTTTATTTACTGTCAAATAATTTTATTTAATAAATTATATAAATTAAATATTTTTTGGTAACTATTTAAATTCAAATCAAATTTTATCAAAAATTAAAAATTTTACATAAATTTTGAATTTAAATATACTAAATCATAATTTATATTTTCTTTTCAAATTTAATCATAGCTCTCTCTCTCTCTCTATATATATATATATGTGTGTGTGTGTGTGTGTGTTATATGTGTATGTATAAGCTTAATAAATTTTTATTTGCTAAAACTAAAATCTCAAAATAAAAATAAAGAACTCATAAAATGAGAACATCACCCCTAACCAATGTTATTTTATTCATTATTATTAAAATTAGAAATTGAAGAATACAATTTTTTTTATTTGATGATTATGGTTTATGAGTTTTGACAATAATGGGTAAAAATTAAAAAGAATAATAATCACATCATACTCATGAACAAGTAAATTTATCTTATGTCTTTATTATTCTTTTATTTTTTATTATTATTTTTTTAGTTTTAAAAAAAGTTTGTGATGGTGTTGGATTGTTTTTTTTTTATTTGTTTTTATAATATTGATTTTTTTTATTTCAATAATGAAAGGAAAATGAGTACACATTTAGATTGGTTTCAACTAGGTAATAGGTATAGTTCGTTATTTTTTTCATATTCTATTTCCTTTTTTTTTTTCATCTATTTGTTTGTTTTTACCAACATTTTATTTGGTTTTATTTACATTATATGATATATACATTTAGATTTGATTTATTCTTAAAAAATTGGTTCATATGTTTATATATATATAGTTAAATTGGATATTTACTATACATAAGTATAAGAAATTTAAATTATATATACGTTTTCAATTTGTATATTTGGTCAAATTAAAATCTATAAAATATTGAAAATTTTACATAAATTTTAAATTTAAATATATTAAATTATAAATTACCTTTCTTTTTTAATTTAATAATAATTTCAAATATATATAGACTTAATAAACTTATACTTGCTGTCAAATAATTTTATTTAATAAATTATATAAATTTAATATTTTTGGGTAACTATTTAAATTCAAATTAAACTCTATCAAAAATTAAAAATTTTACATAAATTTTGAATATTAAATCATAATTTATCCTTTTCTTTTTAAATTTAATCATAACTCTACGTATGTATAAATATATGTGTGTGTATGAGCTTAATAATTTTTATTTGTTAAAATCAAAATCTCAAAATAAAAATAAAGAACTTATAAAGTTAGTGCATCACCTTCGAACCAATGTTATTTTATTTGTTATTATTAGATTTAGAAATTGAATAATATAATCTTTTTTTTATTTAACGATTATGGTTTATAGGTTTTGACAGGAATGGACAAAAACTAAAAAGAATAATAACTACATTATACTCATGAATAAGTAAATTCATTTTATGCCTTTATTATTCTTTTATTTTTATTTTTTAGTTTTAAAGATAAGTTTGTGATGGTGTTAGATTGTTTTTCTTTTTATAATATTGATTTTTCATTAGTTTTTTTTAGATTTAGATAATGAAAGGAAAATGAGCGCATATTTGGTTGGGTTTCAACTATGTAATAAATATAGTTCATTACTTTTTTTATACTATATTTTTTTATTATTTTCCTTTATTTCTTTGTTGCTTCAAACTTATTATTTGGTTTTATTTGCATTATATGATATATGCATCTAGATTTGATTTATGCTAAAATAAATTGATTTATATGTTTATATATATATATTTAGTTAAATTGAATATTTGCTATGTATAAGTAGAAGAGATCTAAATTATATATAATTCTCAATTTGTATATTTGGTTTATGTTCTAATAAAAAAAACAACTACATATGTTAAAGTATATATGTAAAAAAAAAAAAAAAAGAACTAATAAAAAGTTAATAGTTATGAGCAAATTAATAATTATGTTTTGTAGTTCAATCATCATCATCATCATCATCATTATTATTATTATTATTATTATTATTATTATTATTATTATTATTATTATTTGATGTTTTATTTTTGGTTTAGCTTTATAAGATTTAATAATTTAAGAATATTTTGCTAATATACATGTCTTTTACAATTTAATCAAATGATATATTTTTTATATATTCATATCAGCATATAAACAATTATTAATCTTGACTATTTTCTTTTTAATAAGCTAAAGTAAAATTTTATTAAAAGTAGTGAAATGGTTATAAATATCCAACTACGACTAAGAGTACAATAAAGCACAAAAAGAATGTAAACCTTAAAGAAATTGAACTAACATTACATGAGGAATCCAAAAGCGTAGATAACAACATTTCTAACACTAGAAAAAACATATAAACCAATAATAAAAATCTTGATTATTTAAAATTGAACTTTGCTTTTTTGACCGAACAAGAAAAAATGAGTAGTAAAATTTTCATTGTTTAGTAAATGAATTGAAAAAATAATTTTTATGAAAAAGAAAAAAATTTTATAATTCTTTGAAATTTTACAAAAGTTTTGACTTTGAAAAAGTATTACAATATGTGTAAACTTTTATTTAGTTGTACCTTAACATTTATGAATGTATGATTATATATAATAAATCAATAAATGTTTGCATTTTTTATTAAAGTAATATAAAAATTAAGATTAATAAAATTTTTTTAATTATTAAAAATAAAAAAAATCCCACGCATGGCATGGGTTAAAAAACTAGTTATGTAGATATTTTTGTGCTATAAAAAATTTTAAAATTTAATTTTTTATTATATTTATATAAATTTAATACTTTTATTATTTTGATTTAATAATTCTAGTTCAATCATAAACGATATCAAATTTTTTCATTAAAATTGATGACATGGTATTTGACTTGTTGACATATATGTTAATCGAGCTGACATAGCATGATGATTGGTTAAAAGGATTTCTGATGCTAATATGTAATTAAATAATGCCACATGATAATTTAAAATTTTTCAAATTCAATTTTGAAATTTATTTCATATATTTTTCTTAAACCTAACTAATTTCCCTAAATTAATTAAGTAAAAAAAAAGTTAATAAAGCAACATTTTAAAAAAACTTATGCTTGAATCCTAAACCAAGATTGAAAACCCAAATCAAAAATAAAAAATTGTCAATTGGTATTAAAGAAGGATTTTGAAGTGTGAAACCATCGATTCCACTTTCCTCATTAGGATTTTGAAATGCATAACGATTTACTTTTGTTCGAGGGTAGAGTGATTGTTAGGGTTTTGAACATAGATTCAAAGATTCTACTTTTTTCATTCATTTATCACTAAATCTTGTTCGCACAATGACTACAATCTAATTTTTTTTAATTATTATTGATACTTTCATAGAACTAGAAAAAGGAATTTTTTGAATACCTTAAAACGTGATTGCTACATTGAAGAGAGACTGGGTTTACAGGTTAGGATTACACTCTTTCATACTCCTGTTTGGTTTTTTTTTTTTTTAAAATTCTTTTGAGCTTTTGTTATTGAAAAATTGATTGTGGTTATTTATGTTTCATTACTAGAAAAATGGCCTTCACCAACAAAAAATTCTATCAGCAAAGTCTTTTTTTTTTTTTTGTAATAGCATTATTGATGAAAAAATTTTGTTGGTGTTATCCAAGTCGGTAAT